ACCCACAAGGAACTCCTTGTGTGGATTTTCAGACAATTCCGTTGAAAAATGTGGGTAAAATCATCAAAATACCGAATATCGGGGGGTACCGTTACATGGGGGCTATACGATATCGTGGACCTATATGGACAATTCTCTGCCGAGGTATAAAGTACCCACAAGGAACTCCTTGTGTGGATTTTTAGACAATTCCGTTGAAAAATGTGGGTAAAATCATCAAAATACCGAATATCGGGGGGTACCGTTATATGGGGGCTATACGATATTGTGGACCTATATAGATAATTCTCTGCCGAGGTATAAAGTACCCACAAGGAACTCCTTGTGTGGATTTTCAGACAATTCCGTTGAAAAATGTGGGTAAAATCATCAAAATAGCGAATATCGGGGGGTACCGTTACATGGGGGCTATACGATATCGTGGACCTATATGGACAATTCTCTGCCGAGGTATAAAGTACCCACAAGGAACTCCTTGTGTGAATTTTCAGACAATTCCGTTGAAAAATGTGGGTAAAATCATCAAAATACCGAATATAAAAATGTTTAAAGAATTTTGTGTAGGCGTCGTAGGATCTAGAATTTACAAGTGATAGAAAAGGATTTCGGACATAAAACGCTTTATCAATAGTTGTGTTCCAGAACCTGCAAATTAGTACTAATTAGTACTAATTCTGCTACAACGCGTTCCCGTACTCCAAAAACTAGCAAAACTTGCAGCTCTCTCGAGAAAAAAATGGCGCTGAGTGGTGCACATTTTTGCTTGTTTTAGCTACATGAATTTGGCCGAGCAGAAATGTGCATATTGTAAATTTGACATTTAATTGGCAGGGCTAACAAATGTATTGATACATTTCAATAAAGAAAATGATCAACTTGAAAACTAAAGGAAAAACTAATATTTGTCGTGCAAAAAACAAAAAGAGAAAATATGGAGCAACTGATGTATTCACTTTTGGATGATTCCAGCAGTGAAGAGGACTGGCTGAATGAGGAATCAGATTATTAATTATTATTATAAATTATTAATTTTAACTTATCGTCTTCAATACTCATTTTTTAAATGTTGGCGCTCTTTTCAGTAAGGTTTCAACAGTCCGATTTAGGCTGTTTACTTTGGGAATTTTGAATTTTGACATTTTATCGCATTTCTGCTAATTTTCCGTTCCCTTATTTTTTGAGCAAACCTAAATGAGAATGACATTTCGAACTGTTCTCTCTTCTGCTAGTTTTACTACTAAAAAAGTACTGGAACACAACTAATGTTAACGCATGCATTCAATCATGGTAGAATAATATAGGTAGACGCATCGACTCAGCTGCTGGGACAATAAACTGTCAAACCAATTTTGGAATTGAAAATGTTGAATGAAAAATTATTCAATTTGTAAAAATTGTTGAAAACGCGTATTATAATAACCTCCGAATGACGTCGTATGAGAAAACATATAAAAATCTAATTATATTTGAAAAGACATTTAAAATATTTTGACATATCAATGTTCCCAAGCGTTGATGCATTTACCTGTATTTTTCTACCATGCATTCTATGTCAAATACAGGGGGAAATGAGAAGAAGGCAAAGACATAGAAGTATAATGATGGGACAAGACAGAGTCAAAGTATTGTCACCAGGTGTAAATACCTCTGTTGTTACGATATCATAACAACATAATCACCAATGTTAAGTTGTTTTAACAGCAAATGCAATATTCAAACGTCAGTGAAATGCAATTTTTAGTTCAAATTTTTGGTTTACAGAAAATTTTATTCTTAAAATTGCTCTGTAAAGATAATATTTATGCTAACATGTCACTGTTGTGAGCAGCGCCTCTATATATTTTTCACATTAACTATTTTTCCATTATGCATTTTGTCCAGTCTTTACCATTTTAGGTCTTTGAAGAAGGTTCCGAAACCCTTCATTCCTATAATATAAAATTAGAATAGAACCACCCCAACTGGTTGGAAAAGAATCAATAGATTAAGAAGAAGCTTCGAAAGATTCACCGTCATAGGATGATAATAACGATGATGATTGGTTAAGATTATAAGTTGAGTTTATTATACACATTGCAATACAATTTATGTCTTAAATTTAATAAAAGTGGTTAAAAAATTAAGATGGTGGCTGAGTATTGTAACAGTTGTAGGCGTTGGCCGGATGTCCGCGAATATTGTCTATTTTTGGAGATTGGAATTTCATCGGATTGGAAGTTTATGAATTTTTTGAACTCATGTGGGGTAGGTAACAAATGTGGGGTAGGTAACAAAAGTCGAAATATATAGACACCAAGCCCGATTAAAGTACCAAATCAGGTATTCCCAGAGTTTCAAAGTTTTTATTGCTTACTCGCCTCTGCAATTGCAATGGCTCCAGATGTGTGGGCATTTCAAATGAATGCATTTGAAGTAGAAGTAAATGTTCAGCATTTGTGTCTAACTTTAAGTTAAAAACTATTTTTTTTTATATTTTTTGTTTATGTTTTTCATTTTAAATTAATTGTTAGAATGGCGTTTTAGTTTGTATGACAACAATGTTGTTCTTGTAAAATGTTATTTGTTGTAGCTGATGCATACACCTTATAAATACACCTTTTGGTCTGTTCAACAACTGCAAGAATGCGTAAATTGTTACTACGATAACCGAGTTTCCTTTTATGATATCGAAAAAATTGTAAAACAAGTAGAATCTTGCAGGTTCTGGAACAGTGCAATGATAATATGTGGTCTGTTCTAAAACCTGCAAGAATCCACTTTTTAATTTTTTTTTCGAAATCATAAAGAGAAAATCGGTTATCCCATGGTACAATGATATAAAGGTAGGCATGGTACAATGAAGAGAAGGTAGGTCAACTTTGAAAAAATTGCAAGTGTAGAGGTCTACCTGTTTGGCTTGTAATGTCAGAATTACTATCAAAACAATAAAAAAATCAAACAACTTGTTGCATTTTTTGCGGCCCGAGACTATGCGCGATCTCTGTTAGAATTATTCAAAATTATATGTTCTCGACATCTTTTATTTTTAAAATGAGTTAAATAGCGTTAAAGATCTTTCGAATCCATCGCAAAACAGGTAAATATCTTCAATACGCGCCCCACAATGCACGTTTTGATAATTTTTATGTAACCAACTTTCGCTTTCGACATTTGCCACCACCACAGTTTAATCCATGTACACAAGGTAGCACACATATTTTTGCGTGAATCAATTAATAAAATGTAAATAAGTTGCAAGGTGTAATGGGAAATGCACTCCCTCACATTAAATTTTAATGGGAAATGGTGGAATAAATAAGCTAAAGTTATTTGAAATACGAAGCAATTAATATTACAGATTACACTGTATAGAAAACAGACTCCCGTCTGTGATATATGAATACATGGTGGTACAATGAACTGTCAAAACATTTCTGGAATTCAATTTTTGAATGAAAAAATATTTAAAGTTGTTGAAAGCCATATATCGTAACTATTATTTTTTTATTTGGCCAGAATGTTATAATATTTTTGGAATATCAATGTTTACAAGTGCTAATGAATCTACCTGTATAGAACGGGTCTATAAATATACATTTGACAATGATGTGTTGTCAACTGAATAATTTTTAAGTATAACAGCAAATGCAGTTCCTTCATACGAAATCAGTTTTAATTCTTATTAAAAATTCACCCAATTTGACCAATTCTAAAACAAAAAAAAAATTAAATAAATAAATAAACTTGTATCAGATCCAAATTTCAATTTCGGTGTCAACTGAAGCTTACTTTCTAAGGACAATCACGATGATTTTAAATTTCCACTTCTGAAGATGAATGAACCTCTCCAACATTTGAGTAAATCGTTGTTCTTGCACATCATCTAAATAAATCTTTGTCCCTAATTTGAAACTACTTCATGCATGTGTTTTGTTACAGAACCTGCAATAATCATGGTAAAATCATGCGATCATTTATTTACATTTTTTTTTTCAAAATTATTCATTTGCCCACATTTCATTGCCAAAATTTATATTGATAAATCCATTGTATACACACAAATAGAGATGGGAACCTGCTTTCTATGCCATGTAATTTGACAGAAAATGCTTATTTGAAATGACTTTACCTTCTTAAGTTTACCATGGCAATAATCTACAAGTTTTCAATTTATTTCGATGCAAGAATTAAAATTCGGTTATAAAAACTTTTACGTTCTTGCAGTTCTGGAACAGAGCTATAATTAATCTTTCCTAGCATGGTACAATGAAGGGAAGGTAGATCAACTTTGAAAAAATTGCAAGTATAGAGGTCTACCTGTTTGGCTTGAAATGTCAGAATTACTATCAAAACAATAAAAAAATCAAACAACTTGTTGCATTTACTTTGAATAAATAATTGAAAACCGCGAAAACTGAATGAAAAGTCAACACTTCTTTTCAAAACCAGGTTCTATATATCTCTAAAGGATTATTTCGCTACAAAAACTCTAGATTTTGTCGATACATACGATAAAATAAACATTTTGAAAACATCCGAATTTGAATGTTTTCTGAACAATTTTTTTGTTATTGAAAAGAAAACACATACATAAACAAATAAAGATGACATATTAAGCCAAGAAAATAAAAAAATTGAAATATTATGGTATCATAGCCCTACCTCGATATCATTGTACCATGTATCCTAGCTTCTTTTTTTTCGATATTATAAAGGAAAAATCAGTTATCGTAGTACACTTTTTATATTCTTGTGGGTTTTGGAACAGAGCAACTGTATTGGGTAGATAGGTAGGTAGATGCATCAACGCTTGGGAGCATTGATATGTCAAAAAATTGTAAATGTTTTTTTCAAATATGAGTAGATTTTTAAATGTTTTCTTATATGACGTCATTAGGAGGTTATTATAATTCGAGTATTTTAACAATTTTTGCAAATTTAAATAATATTTCATTCAACATTTTCAATTCCAAAATTGGTTTGACAGGTCATTGTCCCAGCAGCTGTGTCGATGCGTCTAACTATATTCTTCTACCATGAGCGACACTTTAAATATATCGCCGATATTTGAAAATGTACACGGCATTGAAGTTTACAAAGAGTTTGGTCTGGGTTTTAAGAAAACAATATTATTGTGTTATATCACGTATATAGATTGGGGATGTATTTTCGAAAATATTTATTTAACGTGAGTGTGCTTTAAAATATTTTGAAATTAAATTTATATCATATTTTAGATTAGGAGGCGGTACTCTACAACCAGGAAATCAAACCGATACAATGTGAAACCAGATCCACATGTGATCCAACACGACTATATTGGTCCCCCAGATAAAGACTCAAACATACGCCCGTTTGTTCGATGTGTTCATCCTAACGAAACATACACAGAAAAAAAATTAAGACTGAAGCGTATTGAGGTCGAAGAATGGAACCATTCGTTTTGGGCGAGACACAATAAAAGGTTTTATGAAGTAAGTCGATATATTCATACATGTTTCGGTAGTAGTGAAGGGAAGAAATTAGCTAATTATAATTTTGAATATTTGCCGTTGCAATCGGCATTTTTCCCTGACTGCGATTTTTCCCGTAGGGGGAAATACCGTTTATTCAGATATTTGAGGTTCTAACGAACCGATATTTACAGTACGGGTAACATATGAAATATCTTTAGAATAGCTCTTAATGGTAATATCAGGCTGTTTTTTTAACAGTATTTTTTCATTCGTTTGGAATGTTGGCGAAAGTATATATATATATATATATATATATATATATATATATATATATATATATATATATATATATATATATATATATATATATATGTTTTTTGTGCATGTTTTTTCTGACATTGACAACCCCTCTTCTAATTTTGTAACGAAAAAATACCTTTGTTTTGAACAGAAATTGGCCCTTTGTTACGGAATCACGCAAAAATTGTATGCGTATAATAAGTAGTTAAGATATGAACCATTTTAATACATCAAGATTTTGCTGGCGCGTCTTGATCTTCCATATTCTTCAAATGTTTTCTCGATATTTTTCCATTTTTATTTTACAAATTTTGATAAATCTTGAATTTATTGGGTTTGTCACTACCAGCACAACTCCTAATGAAATTAATTTAAAAAAATAAAAAATGATAGTTATGGAAACACTGACATATCAAAGCTTGTCGAGAATGGACGAGAGCTTCCAAAATATTTATAAAAACCCAAAGCAACTCAATGTTTTTAGTGGACTTTTGTCACGTCACAAAGGAAAAAACACATGTAGTTATATACAGTTACACGAATACGTCGGAAGTGCGAAATTTCAAAGTTAACAATTTCAACATTGACAATTGAAAAATTTATTTTTTTGTGTGATGAAAATTGAAAAAAAAAAATAATACAACAAATATGAATGTTTGTTCCATCTACAAAGTAAATGGGTTGAAAGGTGAAATCCATTTTTTACGTGTTTTTTTTAATTATTTAATTATTAAGGCAAATTAAATCATATATACCTATCCAACTAATGGACATATTGTTCTGAGCAATATCAGAAAGTCCATATTTGCGTACCAGAAGTATTTGAAAACCGCACCAAAAACAGAAAATAATGTAAACATCAATGATTATGCGCACAATATTAAATTTAGTAAAAACAGTAAAAATCACTTATTTCACGAAAACTTCACACTTTTGGAAATTATTGAAACATGTTTAGTTGAAGAATCACTGTTTAAGTATGGTTTTTCTGTTTTACTTGTATGCAGCAGTACTTCCGCTCAAACTCGAGTGATTTTTCATTTTCTAATTGAATTCGAGCAAAATTACCCACAAATAACCTCATTATATGTTTGTTATTTAGCGATACCCATATAAACAGATAAACATCGGATTTGGTACGCTAACTTTCGGGTCGAATAAATGGGTAATCAGTTAGCAACCATTTATTGCCGCCACAAAAAAATTACTTTGCGCAATCATGTTTAAAATACCTACCAGTGATAAATATTTCAAAGGAATCTGAGCCTAGCCCCTGAAGTCAACATAAGGAAATGCTACTCAGACCTGCTTGATAGGCTTCTGGATCTAGATACGTTCGCATACGTTATGACATTATTCCGTCTAGAGTGCGAGGAAATAGGAAAGTATAGTTTCAAAGTTCCGGAGATATCAATTCACTTTGGGAAAAGCCATTTTTCACTATACGGTGTTTGGCTTTCTTCTTCCGTAATTCGGCGTACAACTGGCATCCACACATACAGTCGAATACCCAACATTTCAAACTTGACCGGAGGGTAGTTGTCGCGACATCCTCCAGCAATGTGATGCGGTTGACTGCATCAAATGCCTTCGATAATTCAAAGGACTACCAACACTGTTCTATTACACGGCTTGCTTTGGGTTGTTCCTTGACTTATATATGAATATTGTTTTTAACACATTTTTTGTTTATTAAATCTTTAATAGGATATTTTAATGAAAAGAACCATGAGTTTTCATATCTTAATAATATAATTTTTTAATAGAGGGATGCAAATACAATTACCTTATATTTTTAATGTTTAATTTTTTTCTCTTTCATTTAAATTAATAAAAATAATTAAATAAATAAATTAATTTAATGAGTAATTCAGTTTCGTTTAGATATACTTATATTTGAGTAATTCACGGACTTACGGATACAATGATTAGATTGGTTAGTTATAGATTTCTTCACTACACATTTAACTCGACTGTTTCTTTGTAATTTATTAACATTAGAGGCACTAGCTGTGCTCAATAGCTGTATACCATCTTGATTGCAATCTTATACGAAAGAACTTTCTATTCTAATATTACAAAAGAACGTGTAAGAACAAATAACCAATTCATTTAGTTTTTTTCTGGTTTCATGGCGCGGTGTGTTGTTTCCGCGTAAGTCTGGACCTGACCAGTTATTTTACGGCATATCTTGTGAAACTTGTACATTGAAGGTTTTTATTGTGGACAATGTTCGTAACTTAGAGGAAATGTATAGTGCTTGCACTTACGGACATTCTCCATTTTGTAAAGAAAATCTACGTGGGTTTGTAGTCTTTCCAACGCTATCATAGGATCTGTTCTTAGGCTTATAAAAATTTTTTTGTTTTTCTTTTTTTTCGAGATTTTATTTAAAATTCTTTTTCTTTTGCTTTATGGGGGTTTTAGTGCAATGTAGCTTTTTAGTATAGATTTAATTTACATAGTTTATTTTAAGTAGTTTTTTTAATAATTCTTAAGTTTTAATTCAGTTAAATTAGCACTTAAATTTCATTTCACTAGAGTTTAAGTTTGTTATATATGTGTTTTGTACACTTCTATTCGTTCTTTGTTGTATTTGTATATTTGTAATAGCAATATTTGTTCTTTGAAATTATGTATGTAAAATGTTCTTGTTTATGTTGTAAATTCACTGTCTGATGTTTCTGTTTTTTATTAGAATTAATATTATTATTTTGATTTTTTTTACTCACACTTGCACTTATCACTCGGGGGGAAAACTTGAGACTTGCGGTCGCGTGTGAAATTCGGTGAGAACTAACTATTGTCCAATTTACATCGTCACATCAAACCTGTTTTGGCTGTTGACGATGCTTAGTTATTGGAATTAAGCATTGGAATTTACCGGTGGCTGCATCAATGTATGTGTGTAGGTGCATATGTTATTTACATCATTTTGTTTTGATGTAATCTATGCAGCCGCCGGTAAATGTGCAAAATAGCGTAATAGTAAATGTGCAAAATAGCGTAAATTTATGAACATTTTCTGGGCCCCGAACGACATCATTTGTAATATACCATAAAAAATCCTCGTTCTTCAGTTCCTCGGCATATTCTTGATTGGCCCAGCAAACACGTAGCCCAGTTGAGTATTGTAGGTCAGGACATCGCCAATTCCTGCTGCTGTACACCCATCTTTCCTTATGGCGGAGTACGTGTCCGCTCCCAGTTCCACATCGATCGGACTATTTCCTCTGGGATCAGGGTCAGCTAAGGCGTAGCTCGTGAAGCATCTAGTGGGGTCTTTCAGTATTGGCCAATAACTTGGTCTCTCATGGCGTTGGCGGGGTCTGGCGTCGGATCGGCTTCGCTGACGTCTTTCAGGGGATGTGGAACTGGGACGATGGATTGGCCATATGGGTCGATTGGCGCTTCTTGCTGTGGGACGGGCAGGTGAGTCTTGGTTACGGTTGCGATCGTCCAGACGGCAGTCCTGGTTAGGCAAGTAAGCGGCCATATCTGAAAAGAAATTAAGGCGAGTACTAAACTCTTTTTTGAGTGAGAATCCGACTAGTCAGTCGGAAAACAATTTGACAATTTTTGTTATGGGTCTGCTAATGTTGCCACTTGCCGTCCGTATGTCTACAAACCTGGTATTTTGATCACTGCCTGGATACGTTTTTTTCGATACGACCTAACTTCCATTCATGCGAAGCCAATTTTTTACGACAACTAGATCTCCTTCTTTGATGTTCTCCTTTTCATATTTCCACTTAGTTCTTCTGTGAAGTTCGTGAAGATATTCTAACTTCCATCTGTTACAAAAATATTGCGAAATAACTTTAAGGCTTTTCCAACGATTGACTAAGCATAGAACTGTATCTGAAATGTCTGGTTCAGCTGGGATAAGAATAGGTGTTCCTATTAAGAAATGACCAGGTGTCAAAGGGGAAAGGTGGTTTGGGTCGTCGCTAGCAGGACTTAAGGGTCGTGAGTTGAGACAGCCTTCAATTCTTGATAAAATTGTTGTAAATTCTTCAAAGGTAAAATTCATTTTTGGGATACTTTTTCGCAAATGAATTTTAAATGATTTGACGCCAGCTTCCCATAAGCCGCCCATGTGCGGAGCACCAGGAGGAATATCCATGTAAGATTTTGAGTGAAATTATTTTGAATTGTGCTATTTTGAATATTCTTCATGAAAGCAAATCTATCTCGCTTTAATAGATCAACCGCTCCCACAAAATTAGTTCCGTTGTCCGAAAATATACAAGCCGGACAACCTCGCCTTTTGTTTTATAAGCGACTTGAGTCCAAATATCCAGAATTCGGACTTTAATACTCGGGTCATTAATTGATTACCCCCGTGTAAAGTAACCTTATGAGTGAATTCGACTAATAATTTGCTAAGTTTGCGCCATGTGGTATTAATATTGGGTGACGTTCGCTATAGGTAAGGGCTGGCGATTGTACCAATCGTCCATTTGCTCTAACAATAACCTTTGAGTCTATAAACGGGTTGAGTGTCAACAGAGGACTTGAAGGAGAAATTTGAGTCTTTTTCATAAGTGAGTTGTATTCGTCTGCAAACACGAATTTCTGGGTACGAATTATGCAAGATCGTTTTCCATCTTGGATTTCATCTGAAGTAAGGTCTTTTGATGAGGTGCGAAGGTGTTGCCTATTTGCTCCAGTATTTTTCCAGAGTCTTAGGGCATATGCGTATGATCGATAAACTTTAGATAAAGAGGAGAATTTTTTTAAAGGGTCATCTCTTTCCGCGAAAAGAGTCATGACTTTTGCCGTTTTGGCTTCCAAATTTGTGTCATTTGGGATTTCATACGATGACCAACGGTCTTTTGGCATTCTGAGCCATTGGGGTCCCTGCCACCAGAGATCACTATTCTTTAGCTCTGCGGGAGAACACCCACGGCTCGCAATATCCGCTGGATTATTTTCCGAATCAACATGTCTCCAATTTTCTTGTCCAACATTATCGGCAATTTCCGAGACTCTATTTCCAACAAATGTGCTCCAATGACAAGGAGGCTTCTTTAACCATGCTAAGACGATGGTAGAATCGGTCCAAAATTGTGTCGAATATTTTGATATTTTTAGGCTATTTACAATGGATTTAACTAACTTGGAGAGTAATACTGCCCCGCATAACTCGAGTCTGGGTATTGATAGTTTTTTAATAGGAGCGACACGACCTAATATATAAAGTGGCTCCATACGCGCTTTCAGACGCGTCACAAAATCCATGAATCTCTACAGAACCATCTAGCGTGTATTGAATCCATGGAGGAACTCTGAGATATTCAATATTTTTGCTATTTTTAACGAAATTGTTCCAGTTCATCTGAGTTATTGGCTTCAATTTATCATCCCAGTCAATTTTGTCTAGTTGTCTTGTTGCATTATTAAATTGGCTACGACGACCACCGGTGCCAGCCATCCACATGGGTCAAACAATTTAGCTATAGTTGATAAAACTTCTCTTTTTGAAGAAATATTTTTATTTTCCATTGAAGGTGGTGTAAACGAAAAATAATCGCCTGAGATATTTTGTACCATTTCGTGATCATTTGACGCCCATTTCATTAGTGTAAAACCAGCAGAGTTTAAAGCGGCAGTTAAATCCTTTCGGGCTTTGATCGATTCGTCTTCAGTGTGGCCGCCAGCTAATACATCGTCAACATATAAATTATTCAAAATTATATTTGCTGCTCTAGGATATGATTCTTTTACATCTTCTGCTAGTTTAAGAAGAGTTCTCAATGCTAAATATGGTGCGCAGTTAACACCAAATGTAACTGTTGGCAGCTCATAATCCTCTACTGGGTTTTCCGGAGACGTTCTAAATAGAATTCTTTGATATTTTGTTTGCTTTGAATCCAAAAGTATTTGGCGATACATCTTTGTTATATCTGCATTGATGGCATATTGATGGCCATTTTTAAATTTGCAATACTAAATCCTGTTGGAGATTGGGTCCAGGATATAGCATGTCATTGAGACTTGTTTTGTTTGATGAAGGACAAGAAGCGTTAAATGCGACTCTTAACTTCGTTGTGAGTCGATCTGGTTTTATCACTGCGTGATGTGGTAGATAATAATTTGACATTTTATCTATTTCATTCGGATTGATTTTCCTCATATGACCAAGTTCTAAGTATTCAAGTATTGAGGCATCATATTGTTCTTTGATCTCTGGTGTTTACATAAGTTTTTTCTCCATTCTGTAGAATTGAGCTAGAGCAATGTTTCGGGAAGTCCCCAATTCTTCGCATTTTTTGAATGGGAGAGTCACCACATATCTTCCATCATTGTTTCGTATTGTTGTTTCAATGAAGTTTTGTTCACAAAATTGGTCTTCTTCTGACCCTAAAACTTTTTTAGGGGTCTCTTTCACCTCCCAAAAACGTGTAAGTACTTTCTCTATTGAAGTTGTATTTAGAAGTGATATTTGTTTTCGTTGAAGGATGCTTCCTGGTATGGGTCCTCCAAATATCCATCCAAATTTGGTTTTTTGTGTTAAAATTGATCCAAATGTTTTCATTGGAGTTCCAGTTGTGAATATTAATGGTCCTATGTCCATTCCAATAAGTAAATCGATTGGTTGATTGACGTAAAATTTCGGGTCAGTCAGTTCTAATGCTGTTACATCTCGAAGTTGTGACTCATCTAAGTTTTGTGGTGGTAGATTTGAAGGTAAGTTCTTTAAAACTGGAGGCCAGACTTCCAGTGTAAAGCTAGGGTCGTATTTGGATCTCATAGTGAACAAGCAAGATTTCGTTGAAGTCTCAGAAATAAATTGACTTAAGCCAGTGACGTTAACTAAGTTGTTCCGTGTAGGTAATTTCAAAAAGTTTTTCATCTTTTCCGAAATAAATGTGGATTGTGATCCTGAGTCTATTAGAGCTCGGGCATCGTAAAGTCGTCCTTTAGTTTCAATTTGTACTATTGCAGATTGTCGCTCACAAATTTGCTTATCTTGGAGGGTCAAAGTAGTAATAGTAGTTGGTTCTAGGTTTGTAGTGGACTGTATTTGATTTGTAAGAGCGGCAGCACTAGTACTAGGTCGTGCTTCCACTCGAGCTAGGTATGAGTTAGTTGTTTGGGTTTCCGTTCCCTTGTGTAACAAAGTGTTGTGTTTCATAGTACAAATACGGCAGCCAAAGCGACCTTTGCAATCCTTTACTCCGTGATTTGATTACAAGCAATTGTAGCATAAGTGTGATGTTTTCACGATGCGAATTCTGTCATTCACACTCTTTTTTAAAAATTCGCTGCAATCTCTGATGAAATGATTTGATTTGCAGACTTGACATGTTTGAATATTTTTCTGTTTATTTTGTTGAGGAAATATTACATTAGTAGGGCTTCCTCCAAAGTTGTTTGTATTTTTTGAGACATTTGTTTGAAATGTTTTCAAAAATCTAGGCGTGTGATTGTTAGTTGGTTTTTGTTGAGCAAATTTCGATGTAGAGGGCTTTATGTTACCAACTGATTCCAAAGTTTTGAATTTGTTTGTTAAGAAAGCGTCAAACTGTTCCCATTTTGGAATTTGTTTACAATCGCTTAATGAATTCTCGTTCTAAAAAGCCTCTAGGTAATCTTGTTGAACAAATGTATATTAAAATCGGTTCCCATCCTTTAACATCGACATCAAGCATCCCCAGTGTCTGAAAGCTGCTATTAACAGTGCGTTGTAGTTTTTGAATAGAGTGACTTGATTCAGTAGAAACTCCAGGTAGATTAAAAAGTGTCTTGATTTCTTCATTAATTTGCATTCTTTTATTCTCGTAACGATCTGTGAGATTTTTCCATGCTAATGTAAATCCCTCATTAGTTAGTGGGACATGTGAAATAATTTCTCTAGCTTCTCCTGCTGTCTTTTGCGTTAAATGGAATAATTTTTCGACATTGCTTAATTTTGAGTTGTTTATGTAAATTGCTGAAAATAGATCTCTGAAGGTAGGCCATTCCCTATAACCACCTTTTTTGTACGATCCCATGGTATCCATATAGTGCTTCTTCAGTTTATTTTTATCGATCGGCTTCCTCTTCTGGAACATAATCCCGGCAGTCTATGTATGCTCTTTTGACCTGGTCCCATACAGAGTCCAACTCCATCCTTGTTGTTTGCAATGAAAAAATTGAAATATAATCCAAAAGATCGTTGACGCAATTTGTGAATTTATCGCTTAAAGTTTTATCCATTTTGAAAATTTTGTTGGTTTACAAAAAAGAAAAGTTGCCCAATGAAAAAGACTAACTTGTCGACGAAAACGATCTTATCTTATTGGTTTGAGTCAAATTATATTTCGTTTCCATTCGAGAACTTCAAAATTTTTGAAAAATTTTCTTTGTATTTGACGCCGGAATGATTTGATTAAAAATGTTTGTTGGGAGTCAACTTTTAGCCAAAATGAGCAAAAAGGAAAATAAAATCTCTTAAAGTCCACTAACAGGAGGATTTTATTTTTGCGAATCGACGAATAATACAAAAGTTTTTAAAACAAGCGCGTAAACGAGAATTGCAAAAACAGAAACTACCAGAGATGTATTGCTGCAATAAACGATTTTTTTTCTTTCAAAAAATCAAGAGAGTCTAGTTTGATAGTCAAAGAAAAGTTTAATGTTCCAAAAAGTTTCAGAAAATCCAAAAAAAAAATGTGTGGGTTGTCGAACAAAAGTTTCAAAATTTTTACTTAAAATCGCTTAATATCCTATGACAGGAGGATTTTATTTTATAAAAGCCAATAACTTTGATTATTGCTGTGAAAATTTGTCTGATTCAACAAATTTTCTAAATTCGCCAAATTTTTCGATAAAATTCGCAGCGAGAGTTAGAGAAAATTATGTATGTATAAATCCAAATATTTCAGCAAAAATATTTCAAACAAATAATTTGGGTCAAAAATCCAAAAACTTGAGCAGAAATTTCCAAAAAATTTGATTTGGGTCAAGGTCCAAATATTTCAGCGGAAAATTTTATGTCCCAGCACAATATTTCAAAAGAACATAATTTGGGTCAAAATCCAAATATTTTTAGCAAAGAATTCACGAAAGTGCAAAAAATGTCTATGAATAAAATTTTCCCAAAAGGTATACCAGCAAAATATTTCTGCGAAAAATGTAAGAAATTAATTTTGGGTCACAGAAAGATTTTTAAGCTCCGTAGAGCAATAGATATTGTGCTAAATGGGAAAAACGGTTAAAATTAGAATAAAAATAAAAAAATGTAAATATATGGGATCGATCTGTCCACCAGACTCCGATATAAAATTTGTTCTCCAAAATTTCAAATAAATTTGTAGTTTATGTTTCAAATGTATGTCTGTCCACCAGTCGCTTGCTTGTTTGCCAACTTTTTTTCCAAAAATTTCAAAAAAATTGTATGTTTTGTATCACATTTATGTCTGTCCACCAGACGCTTGCTTGATTTCCAAATTTTTATCAAAAATTTTAGGTTATTTTTCGTCTGTCCACCAGACGCTATTTTTTTAAACGGGTTTTATTTACTCGTTTTTGTATTCGGGTGACGCCAAATTTTTCCAAAAAAAAATATTGCGATAATATATTGACGCTTTGTTTCCAAAAAATGGCTCCAAATGGAAAATTTTCCTTCACAGTTTCTGAGTGGGCAACTAGCAGCTTTGAATATGGGTCAAAGTGTTATTGCAAATTATGGGAACATGCGGGTCAATGCAAATATTGAAGATTTGCCTGCTCCCGAAATGCCCTTTTGTGTCAAAAAAGAAATTTCAACGAGTACGCACTTTGATGTTGGGTTTTGGGTCTCGTTTGTTGTACCTTGGTTGTTGTTGTTGTGCTGCGTGTGTCCGTCCGCTTCTCCTTTGCTGCTGTTTCCACAAATTTCGGCTTGTTGCTCTTTGTGTCACTGTATATTGTCTTTTGTGTATCATTGTGTATAGTCTCTTATTCTTTAAAAAAATTAATGTCACTTTTTGTTGTAAATTTTTTTGTAAATTGTATATTTATTTTAAATTGAAGAAAAAATTAATTTTTCTACAATTTTAAAAACTTTAATTTTTTGTAGCACTGTGTAGCTTCACTTTTGTTGCTGTGCAAAGTCTATTTTTTGTTAATTATTTATTTTTTTCCAATTTTCTTTTTTAAAAATTTAATTTTTTTCTTTGCACTTATTTTTTACACCCGCTGTTATTTTGTTCTTTTAATCACTGTTCTTGTGTTTGTCTGCCCACTCACAAATTGTTCTTACTTTGTTTTTAATAATTTAAAAAACTTTCACTTTTTGATCCGGCTCTGGACGACCAAATGTTCTTAGGCTTACCTTTTTTGCCTTTTAACCTTTTTTTAATTATAACAATTTTTGGTTTTTCTTTTATTTCGTGATTTTATTTAAAATTCTTTTTCTTTAGCTTTATGGTGGTTTTAGTGCAATGTAGCTTTTAAATATAGATTTAGTTTTACATAGTTTATTTTAAGTAGTTTTTATTTAATAATTCCTAAGTTTTAATTCAGTAGTTCATAAGTTTTTAATTAGGTAAATTAGCAGTTAAATTTCATTTCACTAGAGTTTAATTTTTTTATATTGTTGTTTTTAATATGTGTGTTTTGTACAATTTTATTCGTTCTTTGTTGTATTTGTATATTTGTAATAGCAATATTTGTTCTTTGAAATTATGTATGTAAAATGTTCTTGTTTATGTTGTAAATTCACTGTTTGATGTTTCTGTTTTTTATTCGAATTAATATTATTATTTTGACTTTTTTTCACTCACACTTGCACTTATCACTCGGGGGGAAAACTTGAGACTTGAGAAAATTCGGTGAGAACTAACTATTGTCTAATTTGCATCGTCACATCAAACCTGTTTTGGCTGTTGACGATGCTTAGTTATTGGAATTCAGCATTGGAATTTACCGGTGGCTGCATCAATGTATGTGTGTAGGTGCATATATTATTTACATCATTTTGTTTTGATGTAATCTATGCAGCCGCCGGTAAATACCCAACCAACAGTGTTGGGCAAAATTGCGTAAATTTATGAACAGGATCCTTGTATATATTAATGAATGGCATAACATCAGAAAGTGTTGAAATGTGATTTTCATTTGTTGCGAGCATATCTGTAGTAAATATTACGTAGAGAATTGGATATAAAATGCTACCCTGTTCAACTCCAGCCATTATTTTTTTTCGAACTTGAAAGAAAGTCTTTCGATTTAATAACAAATGTACATTTCGATAAATAGCTACAAAAGAGGTTATCGGTTATGTTATAGGTTATGTGCTTTCTTTTGGTAGAGTTTCACATTTTTTTTTTATAGAATTCCAAGATGCCAAACTCTGTCAAAGGAAATGTCTATAAATAACAATATGAATTCCTTTCAAATGTCATTCTAATTTTTGTGGCTATGCGTGGCACTGTCTAAATGCGAGTTGGTGGACGGGTATAATGTTACTAGATATAGGGGCTAACATTATTAGTAATTTTATTTCGAACAACTTTGAGAGCATAGATAGAACACTGATTGGTTTATATAATTTGACCTCCGTTGGATCTTCGGCTTCGGAGTCATAACTATTTCCATGTTAAATATGGATAACAATTGTTTAAAAGCCGTAATAGGTAATTTCTTGAATGTGGTGTCCGTTGGAGTTGCAATTTTCGAATTTCGATGAAAGGAAAGTTGTGCTGAATTGTCATGTTTCTGTTCAATTATGACGATTTTTTCGAAATTCGACAAAATATCTAAAATATGTATAAAAATTGAAGGCAATTACATATATTCGAAAAAAAATAATATTTTACACCATCTTGATAGCAATCTTATACGAAAGAACTTTCTATTCTAATATAATAAAAGAACGTGTAACAACAAATAACCAATTCATTTAGGTTTTTTTTCTGGTTTTATTGGCGCGATATGTTGTTTCCATGTAAGTTAGGTCCATTCCGACTTATTTTACGGCATAGTTTGTGGAACTTGTACATTGAAGGTTTTTATTGTCGACAATATTCGTATCTTAGAGCAAATGTATAGTGCTTGCATTTACGGATATTCCCCATTTTGTAAAGAAAATCTACATGGGTTTGTAGTCTTTCCAACCCTATCATAGATTCCGTGTGTATATTAATGATTTTTGAGTTTTGCCTTGTTAAGGCGAAGATCATATGTTTATGATTTATGTGTTTGTTTCTCTTTCGAGATGAGTGCAGTGAAAAGGAAAGGAAAGCCAGATAGACACTAACACACTCACTAGATGACACTAGATGTTAAACAGTTCCGGAGATATCACCCCACGTTAGGGAACTCCCTGTTTCACTCAAACTTGGCCGGAGGGTAGTTCTCTGCACGTCCTCAAACAGTATGGCATGATTTACCGTATCAAATGCCTTTGATAGGTCAAGGGCTACCAACACTGTTCTGTCACACAGCCTGTTCTGGTTCAGTCCTCTACTAATATGTGTGGAAATGGCGTGTAATGCTGTTGTGGTACTATGTTGTGGACGGAATCCGTGCTGGTGGTTGGCAACTGTATAGCTTCCTCGAATGCTGGGGAGGAGTAAAGATTCAAGACTCTTAGCTACTGGCGACAAAAGCGAAATCGGCCTGTACGATTCGCCTTTACTGGCATCCCTACCTGGCTTCGGTAGGGGGACCACCCACCCATATTCCAGGTTTCGGGCACTATGTGGGCGGCTAGCGACAAATTAAGAACTTTCGTTAAGTACTCGACTCCCGGCGTATCCAGCTGCTTCTACATTACCATTGAGATTCCGTCCGGGCCCAACGCTTTGGATGACTTAGCGTTACGGATGACATTTGCAACATCACCCATCGTAAACTGTGGTGGTTCCTCCTCGGCGGTGCTCGACAAATTGTCGGTTAAAATACTCCGCGCACCTCTTCGGATCAGTCACCGTTACGTCGTTAAAAGTGACTGAGGTCCTATCATCCTTTTTTCTAGGGTTCGAGAGCGACTTAACCTTTACCCACAGCTTACTTATATCGGTTCCAATGTTGCAACACTTCAGATGATATAGCCACTTTTTCCTCTTAAGCTCCTGTACCAACCGGTTGACTTCCACTGTCAAATCACTGATTCTAGAATCAGTAGGGTTGGTACGACGTAGATCATCACGCTCGTTTGCTAGTCCCGCTGCCTCTGCTGGGAAGTTTGGTCTCATCTCGGGTATTCGACCAGCAGGTATGTAGCGAGCTGCTGCAGCTTTGATGATGTTTCGGAAAATCCTTTCTGCTGGCCAGACAGCTTTCCCATGGTTAAGGAAAGTGCGGCGTTCAGTGGTTATGAAATCGGGCGACCTGCTTGCTTATGGAGACGATTATCGGGAGATGATCTGATCCAAGAGAAATGACGGGTTGCCAAGTCACGTCATTTATTAGACCGGGTGACACTATGGTTAATTCTGGCGAACTGTGACACTATCCTCTTATTCGGGTGGGGGCATCCTCGTTAACTGTGCAGAATGTGGAGCAGCCAATCTGCTCTGCCAACGCTGATCCCCTCTGGTTATTACCTAGGACGGATTGCCACAACTCATGGTGGGCATTAAAATCCCCTAGTACCAGGCGGTTATTGCCTACCAACAATGGGCTAATATCAGGCAAATAACGCGGTTCACAGCTATTAATCGGCGGGATATACACATTAAGCACCTCTACCTTGGCAGTTCCACACTTGACTGCTGCCCCCATACATTTCATGGGTCACTAGAGACTAGTTCAAGCGAGATAGGTCTGTACTGAACAGAATGGCATAACAGGAACGCTAATCCCCAGCCTCCTCTTCTGGTGCGATCCTTCCTTAGTACGTTGTAACCATAACAATTTGCAATTTTCTGCTGCAATTTTCATTCAGCTTTGTTTTCTGCACCGCTGCGATCTTAATATTCCTCCGACTCATGAATTACACTATCTCATCTATTTTGCCTTGGAGTCCGCTGCAATTGAATTGCAAGAATGATGCACAATCCGGAGTTGGAACAGCAACATGTGGCGTTAGGTGCTGCGGTGTTGGTTGCTTTTCTGGAGACTGCGGTGGAGTGCCATTCTCCGACGACGTCTCTGACGAAGAAGTGGACTCGCTGGGACTACGTTACTACAACAAGTCGTAACATAATCCCTTTCGCTGTAGTCTCGCAAACGCCTTAGTCCGGAACAGTTCTTAAAGTGCACCCATTCTCTACATCCATTACATCGCATCGAAACAGATCTGTGGTGGATGACGTTCCCGGCACGGACCAATAAAATCCGGAGCAAGCATTCCGGAATATGCTGCTCCCAATGCAGAAAAAAAAACAAACACAAACATATACATATACATACTGGGTTGGCAGCCGCTGGCCGAAACTGGGATCTTGTTGTTTCGGGTCAATCCGGTATCATAGAACCCGCTGCCGTGGGATTGATGTCACTCTTCGTTTAATTTGAGTGTATTAGTTTCTATTTATTTGTCTCGAAGCCTAGGGGAAGGTGGTTTGACCTTTTTTTCTGACACGAGATTTCGAATGGTCGATGGGTTGTGGGGGTGGAGACTTTGCTACTCGTGTGAGTGGCAACAATTGTATTGTTCTTCTTCCCGACTTTAGGGAATTGTTAGGATTACTGCATTGCAATTATTATTTTTTTTTTCTCCTTCAAAATGCATAAGCGTAACTTATATGGTCATATCAATCTTAATATTATTGAAATTTTTTCCTGGGTTTCTTGTGGTAATATGTTTTTGCAATATCCTCACATAGTATTTTTTGTGTTAATTTGTCTTATGTTGAATATTAATTAAGACAAAATAATGGAATATGGATATATTGAAAAAAATATTTTTAAAATTTTTTATTTGACATATATTTTTACCAATTCATTTGTTACGGACAAGAATACAGTTCACATTGGTGGACATTGTTTAAAGTAAATTATTTTCGTTAATTAATTTAAGTTTTTTTGCTAGTTAGAATTCGATTCATACTATTTTGTGCAACTTTGTAATATTCATTACAAAGATGTGCTGTCAAATTCTAACGAGTAACGATTTTGGCTTATGCGCCGCATCTAGCGTCGTATTTTTAAAAAAAAGGTAAATATTGTTTGCAACAATATTATTTAATAAATTGCCAATATTTCTATTGGAACATTTTCCTAAAAAAAATCGTGTTTTTTTATTTTTATCTATTTTTTGGTTTGGGATTTTATTCAATTTGCTATGCAAACAGAGGGAATTACTCTTGAAAGTGTGTTAAACTTTCATGTCCTCCCATTTCTTTGAAATTATAGACTTATGAATATATAGCCGACGAGAGCTTTAAAGATCGATTGCTAACAGTTGACGCGCCAATAGTTTCTGCACAGTCAAGTGTGTGTGATTTGCATGGTCGATTCACTTTGGTTCGCGTTAGCCGGTGTAGGACATACTCAAAAGAGAAAATCTCAAACCCCGGCCAAAGGCCGGCTACTAACGACAACTTTTAAATTTAAAAAAAACTTTAGTGCGCGTTGTTCGTGACAGTTGTTGTACAATAAATTTTATAAAAATCAAGTTTTCGTTATACAACTATATCTCTGTATCCGAAAAAGTTATTAGCACATTAGCGCAAATTGCAGAATATTTGAAAGGTAAGAGTGTCAGCTTTGCTATACAACAACTGTTATATTTAGAAAAACTTTTGTTCGCGTAGTTCGTGACAGTTGTTGTACAATAAATCTTATAAAAATCAAGTTTTCGTTATACAACTAATATTTTTGTATCCGAAAAAGTTATTAGAACAAATATAGCATTTGGAAAGGTGAGAGTGTTAGCTGTAATCAATCAATAATTTTGTTGACCCCCATAATGGGTTCTTTTCGACTTTTTGGGGGTTTTATAAAAAATCCGGTCCAAAAATCTATGATTTGACTATAACTTTAAATAATTGTGTGACCTTCTGTTGGATAGGCGTTTTCATAAGCTTTCAAACGATAACTATATTGTATATATCAAATGGTCGATATCGGGTAAGTGGATTCGGGTCAAAAATTTGGGGTCCTGGGTCCGTTCCCAAGAAAAAGAAAAACAGTTTCCCGAAACAGGATACCTACCTCTTGAAAAAAATTACTAAACTAGAGTTGTTTCAAAATAATAAATAAAATTCAAGTGCCGGCAAAGCTATCCCCTTGAAGGAAACCAAACTCAGATTTTTGGACAAATTCCTCGAAAATACTTTGCTTTTTTACATCGTTGGACAATGTAGTTTTTGAAGCGGTAAAGACTGAATTACAACAAAAACGATCTTCATACATCGACATTGCTCTGTGAAATATGTATACAATTTTCTGTCATCGGTTGAAGTATCCATTACGAACTTTAAATACGAATTTGAAACAATTTCGGTGAATAACGTTGCTGAAATAATCAAAACACCAAATATATGGAGATATCGTTATATTCTGACTATATAAAAACGTGAACATGCATACACAATTTTTTGTCATAAGTTGTAGTACCCATTACGAACTATACAAAAGATTAAACAATTCCAGTCTATTATGTCTCTAATACCATAAAAGTACTGGATATTGGGAGGTATCTTTATATAGTGGCTATACGAATAAGAAACTTTTGGTCATAGATTGTAGTGCCCATTAAGATCTTCCAACACGAAATTGTAAACAACTACGGTCTATATGTCGCTAAAATCATCAAAATACTGAATATTAAGAGGTACCGTTTTCCTCCTGAAGAAGTACCTAACTACAACGGCTTTTAGTAAACTTTACCAGGAAATTCGAAGAATGACAATATGGTGGACAATAAAAGGGAATTCTGTCGGTTATTGCGAGATTATATACCACTTGGCTTGTTAGGTCCAATCATAGTAGAGGCGAAGCTACTTATAGTAAAATCTTTAGCAGGAAAAAGTTGATTGGAATGAAGCAGTTCGCCCCAGTAGTATAGTATGCTGGAAAAAATCCTCCAAAATTTGTCAAACATTGCTGAGATTAAAATATCTGGGTGGATAAGGGCGCCCCCGAGAAGACATACTGTGCGATAGTCTACATACGAGTAGAGTCACCATTGGAGAGCACACCAACCACTTGCTGGTAGTGAAAACAAAAGTAACACACTAAAGGTTTTGACAAAAGAATGACCAAAAACCAAGAACTTTCGATTCACCAACTATTGAAACGAAAATGACATCAACCTTCACTCTTCTTTTTAGAGGGGAAGATATTTTCAAACGGTTTACATCATTCAATACAACATTCAGAGCTATAGTGCAAATCATTCTGTTTTTTTAATTACGTCAACGCCGACTACGGAAATTGTAGATGATAAACAAATAATATGGGCTTTGGCCAAAGAAAGAATTATTTAAAAAAAAGAACGTAAAAAAATTCACATTCCTCCTTATGCACCCCGCATGGTAGCCTATGGGAGGCAGGCGTGAACAGTATGACAAACAGGAATTTTACATTCGAAGAATTTACGACACTCATTTGCATTGAAGCTGTGCTTAAATGGAGACTATTACCACCATACCATTTGTCGTTCAGTGTGAACTGTTCGTGAGAAAAATAAAGAAGGTGGATTCTATACGACAGCTTAAAAAGTGATTCTAAAAAAAAGTAAAAAAGCTGTTAATTCGGCCGGGACGAACTTTGAATTCCCTCTATCATTTGGAACGTATTTGGCAATTAAAAAAAAAACGTTTAAAATTCCGTTCAAATCTTAAAAATACTGAATGTAGTCGTATGTATTCGACGACGTGGTCCTGCAAAGGCATCATTTGTCATAAGGCTTTATAATATTCATTGTATACTCAAAGTCTGGAGTTTTAATTTAATTCAGTTTATTTCATTAAGAAAGGTTGTGATGTACAAGTTACAAGAGTAAACTATGAACTAATAAATAAAGAATATGGAATGGAGATTGTTAGTGAAAATAGGGTTGCCATCTGGCAGATAAAATAAAAGTGATGTCAATATCGAGTTTACATATACAACATCTTTCCCCTCTAAGGAGAGAATAGGGCCCTGGTTCTTCGAACCCTTGTTGATCGCCGCAATCCTTGTCCCCGTTCGTAGACATTTGTAGCAAATGACGATGCGGATGATTCCGGGAATCCTAGCACTGGAGTAGATGTCGAAGAAGTTTGGGTGTCCTCATACCCATGTGTTGAGACGGGTGGAGTTGAAAATTGTTCGGTATGTTCTAGCTTAATCTCTGAGTTAGTTGTTCGATTACCGATTCTTGTTGTTCGTCGGTGACGATGCTCGAACCAGCTCCGTAGTTATTCGGACGATTCACAGAGTTTTCCTTACTGTTGACTGGTGTGCGACGACTCCATGTGTCAATATCATTTTGATCTGTACCACGAAGTTGATCAATATGACTTCTATAATACTTCCCCTGGAACAGAATTCGATAGTGGACATCTCCCAAACGTTTGGTCACTTTGGTTTTGATCCTTTTCCAATTCCTTGTATTTACAACTGCTCTTCATGAACTATTTGGCTGTTACTTTACTACTAGTTTCTTGTGGGAACACTAGATTTAAACGTGTTCGTAACTGTTGTCCTAGGAACAACTGTGCTGGGGACTGACCCGTAGTCGAATGAGGTGCATTTCTGTACTGTCTCAGGAATTCGTTAAGATTCTCTTTCAATGTCATTTTCGTTGTACGCATAGCCTTTAATGCATTCTTCACCGTTCGGACATTTCGCTCTGTTGGCCGTTAGTTGCTGGGTGGTAGGGGACAGTAAATTTGTGGTACTTAACGCCAATTCTTTGTATAAAATTCTTGAATTCAGCCGAAGAAAAATTCGTTCCATTATCGGAAACTACTATTAATGGTACTCCGTATGTAGCAAACACTTCATACAGCAATGTAATCGTCATCTTAACCATCCCTATATGGGCGCCATGCAAATCTTTCAATAAATCGTCCCGAAATCTAGGAGGGATCACAATTTGGTGTTCAAACATTAAACACCCTGACGACTCTTTGTAGTTCATTTCTGGTGCTTTGTAACCAGCTTTTGACAAACACTGTCCACTTTCCAATAACTTTGTAATCTTACGAAGATGTGGATCCTTTCTGGTTTCCAGCGCAATTCGTTCAGAAGTTTCCGGTAATTGATTAATTTGGCGAATCACGAAACTGTCGAATTCTTCAAGGTCATTACATATGGCCTTATCAAAACTGAGCTTGTTCACTCTGTTTACTGGAGTTACTCGAGACAAAAAATCGGCATTGCTGTTTTCTTTCGAGGTTTTGTGGACCACTTCAAAATTGAAATTATAAAGGAAATCGGCGTAGTTTGCCATACGGGATATGCATAAAATATGCAGCGTCTTACTCGGTTGTAGGATTTGTACCAGCGGTTTGTGGTCAGTAATCAGAGTCCAATGACGGGCATACAGGTACGTGAAAAACTTTAGGACGGCCCACACTATGGTCAGCGCCTCTTTATCGATTTGTGAATATCGTTACTCCGTCGCGTTCATGGTGCGGCTCGCATAAGCAATTGGACGTTCCTGTCCATTAGAAAGATGATGCGACAGAACAGCTCTCTGTCCCGTTTTACTGGCGTCCGTTGCAATTAGAATAGGCAATGCTGGATTGTACGGGATCAGCACTTGCGGAGCTATCAACAGTTGCTTAATTTTGGTGTATGCCGCATCTGTATTTTTATTCCAATAGAAAGTTCCTTTTTTCAAAACGTCCCGAAGTGGACTCTCAAGTGTAGACAGGTTTAATATGAAATTCGATTAATACGACGCCTTTCCCAAAAATAATTGTAACTCCTCCAACGTTCTTGGTTTTGTCGCATGTATAATCGCTTCAATGTGTTTGTTGGGTTTATGAATTCCTTTGGCGTCGATTTTGTGACCTAGAAATTCAATCGATGACGTCACAAACAGGCACTTCTTTTTGTTTAACTTAAATCCAAATTCCTTTAACTTACATAATGCAGTCTCAAGAACTTTCAACAGATCATCAACATCTGTTGCAAACACCAGAATCTCGTCGAAAAAATTAAGAATATTAGAAATGCCATGTATAGTCATTTCCACCGTTCTTTGCTAAATGGCCGGAATGTTGGCGGCTCCATAAACTGCTCGAGTTGGACGTATCAGTCCATGTGTTGGAGTATTCAGCGTCAGGACATGGGCAAATTCCTCATCAACTATCAAGTGTGAATACGCGTCAGTAATATCCAAATGGGCAAACACCGTTGAGCCCTTCATCCTATTGAAAATATCCTCCGCTTTCGGAATTGGGTGTTCGTCTATTACAATTTGCGGATTTACGGTTGGTTTGTAGTTACCCGTAATAAGTATACCTCCATTCCCCTTCGTCACTACATGTGTAGTAGAATACTCTACTCTTTCGTAAGATCCCGCCGCAATGTTAGCCTATTTCCCTGGCATTCACATCCCGTAATGCGAATGGGATTTTTCGGGGTCTTGCAAATTTTGGCGTAGGTTAGGATAGGTAGGTTAAAGGACGCGCGGTTACCATATGGCAACCGCTCCACTCGGAGACCTATAGGTCCATTGTGTTCATCCTAGAAAAGAATGTTAAGAAAAAGAGGAAAAGGTGATTGGTAGAAAAGGTGAAGATAAAAGGTAAAGTTGTAGAGTGTGATCTACGGCTGAGGAGTTTGCCGTGTCGTCTTTAGCCACTTGAATCTTCTGGCTAATTAAAGGATTACTATAGGGTTAGTGTTAGAAAAAGACGACAGGTCATGTGACACTAGTTCTCCCACTAACCTGTGTCTCATATTAATGAGTGCTGGGCAGTGGCGGAGCAAGTGTTCGACTGTCTCGATTTCTTCTTCATCTTGACAGATCCTACAGTAGTCAAAGCCGTCGCTATCCCATTTCGAGGTCATAGCCCTCACCTTACAGTGACCTGTGATGATACCCACCACAAGTTTTAAATCAGGTTTTGACAATGACATCAGCGACCTTGTTCTCTTCTCCGAGAGTGTGGGCCAGATTCGTTTGGGGATGGTGCATCCCATTTCGTCCAGCCATTTTTGTTGGATTTTCTCAGAGTAATGTCTGTGAATAACCTGTAGGAAATGGCACAGTGGTGGTTTAAGTGAGTTGTCTACTTCAATTGTAGTTGATTCGGATCCTAGTCTGGCCAATTCGTCTGCAGTCTCGTTACCTGAGATGTTATAATGGCCAGGAACCCAACAGAGCTTGATGGATAACCCAGTGTTTTCCAAGGCTTCCCTGCAGTTTAAAACAGCCCTAGACTTGATAGTAAAGGAACTCAAGGCCTTCAGTGCCGCTTGACTATCGACATATATTGTCACCGGACCGCTGACCTCAATGCTCCTAGTGACCAGCACGTCAATGGCCATTTTGACCACAACGATTTCCGCCTGAAATACGCTACAGTTGTTTCCAAGCTTATAGGATTCACGGACATTAAGGGTATCACAGAAGACACCAGCTCCCGTACCACACTCCATCTTTGAACCGACGGTATAAACAGCTATGCCGCGGAAAGGTGGGTTGTTATGAGCCCAGGCGTCTCTATCAGGTATGTGTTTGTCAGGTGGGTAGAAGCTTAATCGTGGTGAAATATAGTCACTTGCATAGGCTATCTTTCCCACATTCCTTACACGCCTTAGAATCGCAGAATGTCCAAAGGGTTGACTGCGCCATTCACTTAGTTCTCTGAGTCGAAGAGCACTCCTGAATGCTTGTTCCTCCACATATATATTTAGCGGGCTTAGGCCCAGTAGAGTATCCAGTGCTGCTTGAGGCGTGCTCCTGAAGACACCCGTTATCAGTAGGGATGCGACCCTTTGAACTTTGTTAATGTGTTGGCTTCTTCAAAGAATGCCACCATACTAGAGATCCATAGGTTAGAATGGGGCGAACGATTGACTTATACATCCGTTTAATGATGTGTGGTTTGAGGCACCAGGTTTTGCCTATGGAATTCTTACAGGAATAGAGTGCCTCTTCCAACTTAATCGGCGGTCAAGGATAGTGCCAAGATATTTAGCTTCTAGCGAGAGGTTTAAACTGACTCCATCTAGTCTCGGTGGTGTAAATGAAGGATATTTACGTCTTTTAGTGAAAAGGACGAGCTTTCACGCCTAGTCCATTGCGACGCGCCCACCGTGATAAGATGACTAGAGCTCCTTGCATTAGGTCCGAGATTGTTTGCAGGAATTTCCCGGAATTAGTAGGACGACGTCATCAGCGTATGCGACTACTTTCGTCCCTGTTACCTCTAGATCTATAATTATATTGTTAATGACCAAAAGCCAAAGTAATGGTGATAGGACACCCCCTTGCGGAGTGCCCCTAGTGACCGATTTCCTGACGGATGTTTCCCCCAATGCTAGAGGTGATGATTCTGCTGCTAAGCATGGTATCAACCCAGTCTATGAGGAGTTGGGGTACCTTAAGTTTTGATAGTGAATCATGAATGGATTCTAGCGTGACGTTGTTGAAGGCTCCCTCAATATCGAGGAAGGCAGCCAAGGTGAATAAGGAACCATTCATGTTCTTCTCTATACCTTTCATATAGGCATGCTGAGCAGTGCTAATGACGGTCTTGGGTAATAGATCTCTATGGGGAATAGATCTCTATGTCTATCAGCCTTTCCAAAGTTTTCAATAAGAAGGATGAGAGACTTATCGGTCTATAGTCCTTAGGAAGTGAGTGACTCGGTTTCCCCGCTTTGGGGATATAAGTGACTGTGACTTCTCTCCATGATTCCGGAATGTAGGATAGACGCAGACAAGCTTTGAAAATCTCCCCCAGTATTGGGGATATTGACGCTGAGACACGCTGGATCATAGCGGGAATAATACCGTCTGGTCCCACTTAATTTTGGGTAAGCTTACTATTCTGTCGGCCAGGTTTTGGTCTCTAGCCGTATGATCACGATGCACTTGATCGGTTTGCCGATTGCTTGCCGTGTCGATACAGCCAGGGAAGTGTGTGTTGGCTAGCAGGTTAAGAGTCTCTAGTCCAGAGGATTTAGGATCCTTCGAAAAGACTTTACGAAGTCTGGAGGCATCGTTGACACTTTCTATAGACTCCGTGAAGCATACCCCAATGGCCCTATTATACAGTCGCCTACTAAATTGGCTAAATGTTTTGACCACCAAACTGGTTGACATTTTTTCCCTGGGTAGGTTTGCGGACAGACTTTTTCATAGCAATCTATATAGAGGGTAGAGGTTAAGACCATGTTGTCGAAACAGTAAAGCCTGGGTATAGCCAGTTCCGTAAATTTGTCCCAATGTGCCTTTCTTAGATTTCTAAGTGGTTTTTGATGAATACCATCTACTAAGATTTTGAAAACTATCTTCCGGTGGTCTGAACACGAGCACTCAGGAGAAACTTTCCAATCTTGTATAAGAGATTCATCCTTGTTAGTTAGGGTGATGTCAATGACCTCAGCCCAATCTTTGGTTTGAAATGTTGCATCGTTGCCCCTATTACATATTTTGAGATTATATTTTTTTAGATAAAATCAAAAATGGACTCACCTCTGACGTTGGTATCATTGCTGCCCCATTGGAAGTGGTGTGCGTTTGTCAGCCAGATCTTTGAGCAGCTCCTCTACTTCGTGGCCAGGTGGGTCAGGTCGCTCGTACGGTGGGTAGAGAGAGATGAAAATGTGAACCCTCCCGGATTTAGACTCAAGTCTCGCTAAAGTAACGTCTCCTCCACTGTAGTTGCTAAGGAGGATAAGATTTAAACTCTTTTTGGCAACAATACACGTCTTACATTATCACCATTGGATACCGCATAAGAGACGTACTGCCCACTCACTAGTCCAGTTACCCTATTATTGTATATATAGGGTTCCTGAACCAGAGCTATATCTACTTCAGCTTTCGAGAGGGATAGGAGGAGTTCGGCAGCAGCTGCTTTGCAGTGATGCAGATTATTCTGCATGATGCTAAGTAGCCGATGTTTTCTTCCACCTAATGCAACGGCGTTAGACGGAAATGGATCCATCCAGCGCCGAAATGCAATTTTCCCCCACGAGCTTGAAGGTATTCCTGGCCATCCGTATCCATAGATACTTTGATGACCAGGCCCCCTCATCAGTGTTTGAACTGACAAGACGCCAGTTGTCTGTTTTGAGGTTGGGGTTCTGCTTGCCCAGTATTGTCAGGATGCGTGCCGGATCAACGGATGGTGGTGGCACCCAAGCTGTCAATACCTTACGACAGGGGATGTCCTTTAAGGATACAACCGCCAGATCACATCCCTGCCAGAGGTCGCGAAAGCCAGATATTGCAGTGACCAGGTAATCCTTAGATTCCTGGTTTTCACAGCACATGACTTTCACGCCTCTGTAAAGGGTTGCACTGCCGAATTGCATACTTCGTGGGTCACCCTCTCCCGTGAAGACAAGCTCCCTCAGTCGATCTTCGAATAGCAGCCATCGACTGTCGCTGATTTTACCTTCCGGTTCAGCCTTGTCGATGATTGCTACCCGAAGAGGAGTCTGATTAAGAGAACAGCTTGGTAAATGCGGGTGGTTCTTTTCGAACTTTGCAATTACCTTGAGGTTCATCTTAATCAGAATCTTCTCTCTCTCCGTTATCTGCGCGGGGTCTTGGCCGATAATTTTTTACAATAGTTTACCGACCTTTTATAGCCCCGCTTTGCTTTCGCCTCCTTTGGGTCGGCGCCATCATGAGAGGTAGGGTTTCTGGTAGGATCCCCGCCAGTACCTACATTGATGGCGTCTTGCCGATCGAGGCTGGTAACATCGGAAGTGACCGACGATGATCCCTCCTGGATTTGGGACTCTGCGCAAGTCTCGCTGGGAGTGTTCTTGGTGGCTTTTTGAAATGACTTACCACTTTCAGACGAGGAAATTACCGTGATGTCAAGTTCCACATCCAAAAGTGGTGAGTCATCTCCAAAGCCAGAATGAATACTTTCCTGACTGAGCCTTAGCGTTTTTGTCTTTTCCAGGAGGGCGGACAATTGTTCGCTATGTCGCTGAATATTGTCAGGGATGACGTCACTGTAATTCAGTATAGAGTATAGAAACAATTGTTTGCTATGTCGCTGAATATTGTCATGGATGACGTCACTGTAATTCAGTATAGAGTCGTCCCCTCCCGAGTTGGAAATCGTGTCCTGTGGCCGGTCCTTGGTCGTTGCTTCCTTGGATGCAATAGTGTCAGTGGTGGTAGTTGGGTGTTTGTTTTTATTTAAGTAATTATTCTTCTCCATATTAAAAAGTCGAACTTGGAGGAAACGAAGTCCACCATGGCATAGCCTCCCTACAATGGCAAGGACTGGGCAACTAAGCCTGTTACCCACTGAGGCGCCCAGGTATCAGTAAGGCAACCGTACGAATACAGTCGGTACCCTGACTGCAAGCCGAAGAACACTGATGGGCACGGTTTACGTAACACCCCAGCGTTAGGGGGTCTTATTCTTCGGTAGACCAACACCGATCACTGGATAGTTTGAGGCGTCAGTTGTTCGCCTCGTCGAACCAGGGATCATGGGCACTCGGATATTTGTTCCGAGACTCTCCCCCCGGTACCGTTGAGTTGTCCGCGACTGCTTATTTATTCGCAGCTGCCCAATATATCTATTGGGCGTTCCACTATCCGCAACCTGTGGACGCGTCCGGTAGCAACCAGCTATGCTTCCGATACTCGGCCGGAAAATTTTCGCGTAGCATCTTGCATCAATTGCACTTTAATAGGAGGACCTTTGAACTTACCCGCTATATCACTGAATATATCTTTATGTTTGGCTAATAGCAGCTGTTGTTGTTGTTGTAGCAGCTCATACATCTGTGTACGTTTGGTTTCCATTTTCTGACTCAGTTCAATCGGGTTCTGCCTCTAAGTCCAGTCTCAAAAAGGATGCAACCTGTATGGGTTGTGTCCATAACGAGACTGGAGTTAGGTGAGTAGGCTTGGCTGGGCAACGAAATAAGTGCAGCGTGTCATGTGGGCCTGTGCCACATGCTGGGCAGATGTTCTGCACGTCGCCGTTGATCCGGGTCCAGTAGGAATTTAGGCGGCTGCACCATCCGGATCGTAATTGAGCCAAGACTACTCGGGTTTGTCGGGGCAGCTCTCGTTCTTCAGCTGCGACGGGAGGGGGATGGTCTCCTAGCACAGTATTCACTCTATATCCTTCAATGGCTTCTGAGACCGCATTAGAGTGAATACTATTCAGTCCCGCTTGATAGGCCTGTTGATCTAGAGGCTCTCTCTTATACCTCTGTACCTCTCTCTCTAGATCATGAAGGTCTTTCCTAACGTGCCTGGGCGGAGGTTGCCTATCCACAAGATGGTGATTTGGATGGCTTTGTCTATAACACCCAAGCAGGTATTGCATTGACAGCATTTTGTTATGCTGTCGCACCGGTAAGACCTTCGCCTCCTCATGTAGGTGATCGACAGGTGTCATGAGAAGGCACCCTGTTGCGGTTCTAAGGGCGGCATTCTGGCAGGACTGAACATTTTTCCACTGCGTAGCACTGACGTTAGCGGACCACACCGGATCCGCATAGTTTACCACAGACCGGCCTATCGCGTTGTAAGAGATCAACAAGGTTTCCTTATCAGCTCCCCAAGTACTGCCGGCCAGAGACTTGAGGACCTTGTTCCTACTTCTAATCTTGTCGCAGATAGCTGTGGTATGCGCGGACGACTTAAAGAGGCTATCGAATGTGACCCCTAGTACCTTGGGGTAGTTGGTGGTCGGAATAATAGCACCATCGACCTGCACATTCAAGGATAGCCCCATCTCCGCAGTCCATGTGGTGAAAAGTGTGGCCGTCGACTTAGTGGCGGATATCTTCATATTCCTCGCAGTGAAAAAGGCGGTAAGATCAACAAGGTAAGCGTTCAACCGATCGCAAATGTCATCAATAATGGGTCCGGACGCCACGAGCGTACAATCATCTGCGTACGTAACAATCTCTATGCCGTCTGGAGGGCGTGGAATTTCAGAAAGGTAGAGGTTAAACAGTTCCGGAGATATCACCCCACCTTGGGGAACTCCCTGTTTAACTCTACGGATGCTCGACTTCTTGTTTCTGAATTCCACGTACGACTGGCGTCCACACATGTAGTTTACTATCCAACGTTTCAAACTTGGCCGGAGGGTGGTGCGTTCAATGTACTCGAACAGTGTGGCATGATTGACTTTATCAAAGGCTTTTGATAAATCAAGTGCCACCATAACTGTTCTATCGCACGGCCTGCTCTGGTTGAGACCTCTACTGGCATGTGTGGAAATGGCGTGTAAAGCTGTTGTTGTGCTATGCAATTTCCGGAATCCATGTTGATGATCGGCTACTGGGAAACACTCTCTTATGCTGGGGAGGAGTAAAGCCTCAAGCGTCTTTGCTACTGGTGACAAAAGTGATATCGGCCTGTATGAATCACTTTTGCTGGCATCCTTGCCTGGCTTCAGTAGCGGGACCACCCTGCCCATTTTCCAGGCATCGGGAACTACTAGGGTGGCTAACGACAGATTGAGAAGCTTTGTCAGATACTCAACTCCTGGTTCATCCAGTTGCTTCAACATCACCATTGAGATTCCGTCAGGACCAAGCGCTTTGGATGACTTTGCGCTTCTGATGACCTGTGCAACATCTGCCAACGTAAATTGTGGTGGTACCTCCTCGGCTGGAAGGGATCGTACACGGCGTAGTATCCTTCTCTTCGCCCTGTCACTCTCGGGGTGCTCTACAAACTGCCGGTTAAAATAACACGCGCACCTCTTCGGATCTGTCACTTCTACGCCGTTAAATGAGACAGATGTCCGATCGTCCTTTTTTCCAGGGTTCGAAAGCGACTTAACCGTTGCCCACAATTTACTCGTTCCGGCACCGATGTTGCAATGCTTCAGATGTTCTAACCACTTTTTCCGCTTATGCTCACCTACTAACCTGTTTACCTCCAGACTCTGGGGTTATTAGGGTTAGTACGGCGAAGCTCATCTCGCTCGTTTGCTAATCCCGCTGCCTCTGCTGGGAAATTTGGTCTTATTTCAGGTATTCGACCAGCAGGTATATAGCGAGCGGCTGCAGCTTTGATGATGTCCCGGAAACACCTATCTGCTACCTGAACATCAGATGGGTTGGGCAGTTCTCTGAAGCGGCGATTGGTATACTCTCTGAATTCTTGCCAATTGGCTTTCCCGTGGTTAAGGAAAGTGCGGCGTTCAGAGTCGATGAAGTCGGGTGGTCTATTGATGGCGATAATAATGAGGAGGTGGTCTTACGACAGGGGATGTCCTTTAAGGATACAGCCGCCAGATCACATCCCTGCCAGAGGTCGCGAAAGCCAGATATTGCATTGACCAGGTAATCCTTAGATTCCTGGTTTTCACAGCACATGACTTTCACGCCTCTGTAAAGGGTTGCACTGCCGAATTGCATACTTCGTGGGTCACCCTCTCCCGTGAAGACAAGCTCCCTCAGTCGATCTTCGAATAGCAGCCATCGACTGTCGCTGATTTTACCTTCCGGTTCAGCCTTGTCGATGATTGCTACCCGAAGAGGAGTCTGATTAAGAGAACAGCTTGGTAAATGCGGGTGGTTCTTTTCGAACTTTGCAATTACCTTGAGGTTCATCTTAATCAGAATCTTCTCTCTCTCCGTTATCTGCGCGGGGTCTTGGCCGATAATTTTTTACAATAGTTTACCGACCTTTTATAGCCCCGCTTTGCTTTCGCCTCCTTTGGGTCGGCGCCATCATGAGAGGTAGGGTTTCTGGTAGGATCCCCGCCAGTACCTACATTGATGGCGTCTTGCCGATCGAGGTTGGTAACATCGGAAGTGACCGACGATGATCCCTCCTGGATTTGGGACTCTGCGCAAGTCTCGCTGGGAGTGTTCTTGGTGGCTTTTTGAAATGACTTACCACTTTCAGACGAGGAAATTACCGTGATGTCAAGTTCCACATCCAAAAGTGGTGAGTCATCTCCAAAGCCAGAATGAATACTTTCCTGACTGAGCCTTAGCGTTTTTGTCTTTTCCAGGAGGGCGGACAATTGTTCGCTATGTCGCTGAATATTGTCGGGGATGACGTCACTGTAATTCAGTATAGAGTATAGAAACAATTGTTTGCTATGTCGCTGAATATTGTCATGGATGACGTCACTGTAATTCAGTATAGAGTCGTCCCCTCCCGAGTTGGAAATCGTGTCCTGTGGCCGGTCCTTGGTCGTTGCTTCCTTGGAAGCAATAGTGTCAGTGGTGGTAGTTGGGGGTTTGTTTTTATTTAAGTAATTATTCTTCTCCATATTAAAAAGTCGAACTTGGAGGAAACGAAGTCCACCATGGCATAGCCTCCCTACAATGGCAAGGACTGGGCAACTAAGCCTGTTACCCACTGAGGCGCCCAGGTATCAGTAAGGCAACCGTACGAATACAGTCGGTACCCTGACTGCAAGCCGAAGAACACTGATGGGCACGGTTTACGTAACACCCCAGCGTTAGGGGGTCTTATTCTTCGGTAGACCAACACCGATCACTGGATAGTTTGAGGCGTCAGTTGTTCGCCTCGTCGAACCAGGGATCATGGGCACTCGGATATTTGTTCCGAGACTCTCCCCCCGGTACCGTTGAGTTGTCCGCGACTGCTTATTTATTCGCAGCTGCCCAATATATCTATTGGGCGTTCCACTATCCGCAACCTGTGGACGCGTCCGGTAGCAACCAGCTATGCTTCCGATACTCGGCCGGAAAATTTTCGCGTAGCATCTTGCATCAATTGCACTTTAATAGGAGGACCTTTGAACTTACCCGCTATATCACTGAATATATCTTTATGTTTGGCTAATAGCAGCTGTTGTTGTTGTTGTAGCAGCTCATACATCTGTGTACGTTTGGTTTCCATTTTCTGACTCCGTTCAATCGGGTTCTGCCTCTAAGTCCAGTCTCAAAAAGGATGCAACCTGTATGGGTTGTGTCCATAACGAGACTGGAGTTAGGTGAGTAGGCTTGGCTGGGCAACGAAATAAGTGCAGCGTGTCATGTGGGCCTGTGCCACATGCTGGGCAGATGTTCTGCACGTCGCCGTTGATCCGGGCCCAGTAGGAATTTAGGCGGCTGCACCATCCGGATCGTAATTGAGCCAAGACTACTCGGGTTTGTCGGGGCAGCTCTCGTTCTTCAGCTGCGACGGGAGGGGGATGGTCTCCTAGCACAGTATTCACTCTATATCCTTCAATGGCTTCTGAGACCGCATTAGAGTGAATACTATTCAGTCCCGCTTGATAGGCCTGTTGATCTAGAGGCTCTCTCTTATACCTCTGTACCTCTCTCTCTAGATCATGAAGGTCTTTCCTAACGTGCCTGGGCGGAGGTTGCCTATCCACAAGATGGTGATTTGGATGGCTTTGTCTATAACACCCAAGCAGGTATTGCATTGACAGCATTTTGTTATGCTGTCGCACCGGTAAGACCTTCGCCTCCTCATGTAGGTGATCGACAGGTGTCATGAGAAGGCACCCTGTTGCGGTTCTAAGGGCGGCATTCTGGCAGGACTGAACATTTTTCCACTGCGTAGCACTGACGTTAGCGGACCACACCGGATCCGCATAGTTTACCACAGACCGGCCTATCGCGTTGTAAGAGGTCAACAAGGTTTCCTTATCAGCTCCCCAAGTACTGCCGGCCAGAGACTTGAGGACCTTGTTCCTACTTCTAATCTTGTCGCAGATAGCTGTGGTATGCGCGGACGACTTAAAGAGGCTATCGAATGTGACCCCTAGTACCTTGGGGTAGTTGGTGGTCGGAATAATAGCACCATCGACCTGCACATTCAAGGATAGCCCCATCTCCGCAGTCTATGTGGTGAAAAGTGTGGCCGTCGACTTAGTGGCGGATATCTTCATATTCCTCGCAGTGAAAAAGGCGGTAAGATCAACAAGGTAAGCGTTCAACCGATCGCAAATGTCATCAATAATGGGTCCGGACGCCACGAGCGTACAATCATCTGCGTACGTAACAATCTCTATGCCGTCTGGAGGGCGTGGAATTTCAGAAAGGTAGAGGTTAAACAGTTCCGGAGATATCACCCCACCTTGGGGAACTCCCTGTTTAACTCTACGGATGCTCGACTTCTTGTTTCTGAATTCCACGTACGACTGGCGTCCACACATGTAGTTTACTATCCAACGTTTCAAACTTGGCCGGAGGGTGGTGCGTTCAATGTACTCGAACAGTGTGGCATGATTGACTTTATCAAAGGCTTTTGATAAATCAAGTGCCACCATAACTGTTCTATCGCACGGCCTGCTCTGGTTGAGACCTCTACTGGCATGTGTGGAAATGGCGTGTAAAGCTGTTGTTGTGCTATGCAATTTCCGGAATCCATGTTGATGATCGGCTACTGAGAAACACTCTCTTATGCTGGGGAGGAGTAAAGCCTCAAGCGTCTTTGCTACTGGTGACAAAAGTGATATCGGCCTGTATGAATCACTTTTGCTGGCATCCTTGCCTGGCTTCAGTAGCGGGACCACCCTGCCCATTTTCCAGGCATCGGGAACTACTAGGGTGGCTAACGACAGATTGAGAAGCTTTGTCAGATACTCAACTCCTGGTTCATCCAGTTGCTTCAACATCACCATTGAGATTCCGTCAGGACCAAGCGCTTTGGATGACTTTGCGCTTCTGATGACCTGTGCAACATCTGCCAACGTAAATTGTGGTGGTACCTCCTCGGCTGGAAGGGATCGTACACGGCGTAGTATCCTTCTCTTCGCCCTGTCACTCTCGGGGTGCTCTACAAACTGCCGGTTAAAATAACACGCGCACCTCTTCGGATCTGTCACTTTTACGCCGTTAAATGAGACAGATGTCCGATCGTCCTTTTTTCCAGGGTTCGAAAGCGACTTAACCGTTGCCCACAATTTACTCGTTCCGGTACCGATGTTGCAATGCTTCAGATGTTCTAACCATTTTTTCCGCTTATGCTCACCTACTAACCTGTTTACCTCCAGACTCTGGGGTTATTAGGGTTAGTACGGCGAAGCTCATCTCGCTCGTTTGCTAATCCCGCTGCCTCTGCTGGGAAATTTGGTCTTATTTCAGGTATTCGACCAGCAGGTATATAGCGAGCGGCTGCAGCTTTGATGATGTCCCGGAAACACCTATCTGCTA